TTAGCCTATCCAACGCTGCTGGCTAGGCCTAGCCTTACCTCGATTTGGGTTCTGTTATCACACATAAAAACGGCCGACATGATATTTTCCGTTGCTAGTATTGAAATATAATATTTCATAGGAATTATTTCAAATTTGTTAAAAAACTGATTCTGACTGAGATTTTGACACTTAAACAAACATATCTCAGCCTTAATCGAACGACCGCATTGTGCGAGATACGAAGTACAAAAACTAATCTCATTAGAGAGGGCGCTCTTTATTGAATGTATAAAAGTATACATAAAAGCGAGAGTATTCCAGTTGATGCGATCTACAACCTCTGAATTTGCCTAGTAACGATGAATTCGTCTAGAAAATGGTAATATTTTATGAGAAATAGTCTGTATTTCTCATTTTTTTTATTCTTTTGCGTAAACTAAAATTCATGCCAATATTTTTCCATGATTTGTAATAATTGGAGTAATGCAAATGAATATTTTCTTTAAAAAAAGTCAGTTTTTAGTGAAATTTTGCCGGGAATGGGGCTTTAACTATTTATATAGGCGAAGACAAAGGAAAGAATCATGAGGATCGCATTTTCTTTTCTTTTAATTTTTCAATTGTTTTCATGTTATTTAATTTGTGAACACTTATAGTTTTCTACGCTGCTGCACAAAAGCTGTCATTAGCCAAATAGCCAAATCCTAATAAAAACTGAATTTGGCTAAATTTCCATTCCAAATTAGCCAAGAAGCTAATGGAGTTAAGCCTGTAATCAAGGCAATTCAACAGAAGGACGCACATCTCCGCTCTCGAACCATAGAGAAAATAGAACTATTTTCTCTATGCTCGAACATAGCGCGTGCGTACAGTCCTTTGATCTTTACTGTGGCATCGACAATCCGATACTTGTTGCGAGTACAGCCGTCAATTATTAGTCTATGCGTGCCATTCGTTTTATGGTGTTAGTTTTTATTTTATTACCGTATTTTTGGGTACTTTGCAATGTCTGTTACATCTGATTTTTTTGACCGCGAGCTTGTTAAATGTTTCTATAAACTGCAATTTGATTTGTGAAAATTGACCAACAAAATGAAAAGTTATAGCAATTTAAAATTTACGAATTTTATAAAATTTCATGTACTTATGTAATATTAATTTGTCATTTTGACAATGTTGACATAAGGTGCCGAAAACGAACATTTGAGCATATACAGAACATTTATTAATTTTTTCTGCGAAGTGAGTCTCATGAACGACAATTCACCACAATTTTGGTAAAATTAATGTTGAAAATGAAGAATATATTTCAGTCTAATCGTTAGTGCAAAATATTATTAGACGCGCGATTATCATGGCAACTAACACGCGCGTGGTAAATCGTCACGTACGCTGACGGTTTATGGCCTGGTTGCTATGGTTTTTGTGACGTTCAGCGTGTAGGGACGCACATGCGCCTAGAATGTCGATGCCAGAGTTATAACCTTTGATGTCCCGAGATGTGCGTCCTTCTGTTGAATTGCCTTGCTGTAATTCCGTATTTTATTTTGTTTTGACTAATTAAATTTCTATTTTGCTAATTGTTAGCCAAATTGCTAAATATCGTATTTCCAAATAAACTATGAAAATTGTAGGTTTTCAGGTCCACCCAATTCGAAACCTGAAAAAAGTGGGGTGGTAGTTAGATGGTAGGCCTACCTTTTAGAAAGGTCTCGGAATCAAGAGGGCGAAATTTACTAACAAACAGGTAGTGTACATAGGCATATAAAATAAAATAATTGATATGCTATCATAATTAACAACATCAACATCATCATTGAATAGCCATCATCTATCATCATCGCACCATCATCATAACTAAATCATCATTATCAAATTTACTACCATCAACATCGTCGTCGCCGTTATCATGATCATCATCATCATCCTCATCATCATCATCATCATCATCATCATCGGGTCAACATATAAATATAACTAGTATAACCCCCGTGCTCCGCACGGTGTTGATGAGTGGGGAAAGGTGGCGATGTATTGCTGAATGTTATGAGAAGTCGAGGACGGCAATCATCGTTGTGGATGTTATGTTTAGCATGCTATTATTTTTCTAAAGGAAGTCTTTGTAGATAATGTTTTGGGTGTCTTTGCTGAATAGTCCTTGTGTTGTGAGATTGTGCAGTTTGATGAAGGGTGGATCCAGAATTTTTCAAATGGGGGCGGGGGCACAACAGTTTTAAAAAGTGAGTAGCACGTAACATTAATGCATTGAAATTTCAAAAATGTTGTGGCAAAACGGGAGGCACTTGACCAATTTGCTTGCAGAATTAATATATATATATATATATATATATACCTACGCATGGAGATGTAAGCTATCGCACCAAGTGAGGCTCCCTCCACCCTAAATTTCATCCTGGATCCGCCACTGTTAGTGGAGGTATTTATTAAGCCTACTACTATGGTCATTTTTGAATTTTTAACAAAGCTTCGGACATAAACCACCCAGGACATAAACCACCCAATTGGAATATACCATTGTTAAAGTGGGTGGGCAACAGGGTGAACAATTTATCTATTTTATCTAGCTTTACAATAGGACTTAATTTGTTATTGTACACTCCTATTATACGCCTTTAATTCATTCATTTTTTCTGACAACATGCATGTTGGTTAGTAATCATTGTAGATTTTAGTAATCACTGTGCTTAAAGTTTAATTTTTTTTAGTTTTTTATTAAGCCTACTACTATGGTCATTTTTGAATTTTTAACAAAGCTTCAATTTTTTCAACAATTATAGCTATTCGGTCACATCCGGGCCTACTACCTAACAGAGCACAAATTTATTTTTCAATTTGTTGAATATTTGAAATTTGAATACAATATCCAGTTTTTGTTTAGAATGTTTGGAACCTCTAAAAGTTAAACGGTTTTAATACACGTACAGTATAATTATTATTTAAAAAAATACAAATTACCGTATGGTACCAGAATGATGACTAGATGCGTTCCGTCGTTTTGTGTATGCGAAGAAGACGAAACTCGGCGGGTCGTGGATTTCATGTATCCCTGTGACGTACTTCTCTTCTAGGCCGATCCAGCTGTTCAATCAAAGTACAGTGGTACGGCAAGAGAGAGCCTCTCGCGGACTTGGTGAAAACTAAACACTGTGACATATTCTGGCTGACATAATTTAGTTCACATATATATTGGATTAAAGATGGCCGGAAACGCATTGAAGAGACTCATGGCTGAGTACAGGCGTAATTATTAATATACTGTTAACTTTATAGATACTAAATACTACCTATATAACTAGACTAGTCCTACTAATAATACTAGTAGTAGTACTACTACTCTAGGGGCCTAATGCTAGCCTAGCCTAGCCCATCGTGCCTACCTAAAAGAGGCTACTAGAGAGAGGGAGGGGAAGAGGTTGCCAGGACAGGGGAATAGGCTAGGTCTACTGTAGCCTAGCCCTCCGTCGTGCAAGCGTAGGGGCCTGGTTAGCCATAGGCCTAGGGCTTTTTGTGTTAACTTTGCCTTCGCGATAGACTATCATCAAGTTATTGTATACTATGTATTGTATGCTCTGCCACTTTCAACATTAATAATATTCTAGACTGCAGGTTTTATATTTAACAGTACATACATACTACAGTAGGCTTATTTTTCATAACTAAAATATACAATAATACTAATTATATAGGGTAGCTAGGCCTGCCCTGTATAGTCACTCATGCTATTTATCCGGTAGTTATTCAAATTCAACTTTATTGCAATCAATAAATTTAATGATTGGATTAAGCAAGTAAACAGTTACATTATTGAAAAATTAAATAAGCAACACATTCAAAAGACATTAATTAGATAAATATACAAGACAACAAATCATTGAGAAAATAATGTTACTGCAAAATGTCCATAAAGATTAAGGAAAAACGTTCTGATTGGATGAACGAAGAAAGTTCTGATTGGATGAACGAAATACTGAAGGCAGATGTGCGCAACACCGCACATAGGCCTAGGTATACACCAACATCAGCCTGTAGATTTTGTCGAACTCTCCATCTATAGAACATTTTTAATTCCTACTGTATTTATAAAAAAAACCAAAAAAACAAAACTAGCTTACCTTCACAAAACAAGTACCATTAACTTTTTTCCAACCTTTTTTTTAGAACTTACTGTTAATCCACCTGAAGGAATTATAGCTGGTCCAAAAAACGAAGATAATTTTTTTGAATGGGAGGCCCTTATAACGTGAGTATTTTTTATATGCATGTAATCAGTTATTCATTCAATCAAAATAGATAATTGGTCATTTAGTCACTCGTATGTTAATGTATGAATGAATAAATCAAGCAATTAATATAGTTAACCAATTATTCAATCACCAATCTCTTAATTAATTAATCAATCAGTCAGTCAATCAATCAAGCAATAGTTAATCAGTCATTCAATCACCAGTCTGTCAATAAATAAATTAATGAATCAATAAATAAATCTGTTAGTCAATAGATAACCTGTTATTCCATCACCAGTCTCTTAATAAATGGATCAATCAATAAATCAGTTTATCAATCAATCAACCAATCAATAGTTAATCAGTCATTCAATCACCAGTCTGTCAGTTACTGTAAGTAATAAAAAAAAAATCAATCAATAGTTAACCAGTTATTCCTTCACCAATCTCTTAAGCCGTGCACTCACTGCATCGTAGGACGATTTCAATTCCGCTTCTTTTGAGTGCTAAACCATGCGACTCCTTCTGATGATTGTCGGTGGTCGTCTGAACAGATCATCATTGAAAACGATCTGTTGCGCGCACGTTGTCGTGCACGACCGTCTGGTGCAGTGAGTGCCCAACTTAAGTCTTAATGAATGAATGAATCAATCAATCAATAATTAATCAGTCATTCAATCACCAGTCAGTCAATAAATTAATTAATCAATAAATGAATCAGTCATTTAATCACCATTCTGTCACTGAATTAATGAATCACTGAATCAATAAATCATTCAATCAATCTATTAATCAGTCAAACATTCTTTCAATTAATCAGACAACCATTCAAGTCACTCAGTGAATCAATTAATCAATCAATCACCAATCAGTCATTAGAGTCAAAGAACTTTTAAAAGTATTGTCAAGAATAAATATGGATGGCTAAAGATGTTTATTATAAGCTTTAATACTTAACCTTTATTATTATTAAAAGCAATATCATAAAACTCAGTTCAGTACACCAAGTTTAAAAATATGCATTGGTTGGTTATATTGATACTCGCCATGAAAGAAGCCTTTAAGAAATACTTTATTATCATATTTCTACTTAAAACGATTATTCGGACTACAGTAGATGTTTTATTGTGAAGATTCCCATGTTTTATATGTGTGACAAGGCCAATTTGTTATTTTATTCAATTTTTGAATAAATAATTATACAGCACCAACAATTACTATTATTATGGAGGTATATTTCTCTTTCTTTTAGTGGTCCTGAAGGCACCTGTTTTGAGGGTGGTGTTTTTCAAGCCAGTATTCATTTCCCTCATGACTACCCTTTAAATCCACCCAAGATGCAGTTTACCTGTGAAATGTTCCACCCTAATAGTAAGTTAATCATATTTTTATCTTCTTCATATCAATCATCATCACTAATTGTCATCACTATCATTGTCATCTTTAAAATCATTACCATTTTAATTATTATCATCTCATCCTCTTATCCACCATCATTTTCACCACCATTATTATCACCTTTGATTATCATCATCAATGATTTTGATATAAAGTGTAGTTCTGGGGTTAGGATTTCTATTAAAACAATATATGTTTGTTTTTGTAACTTAAAATTGTGCATATACAAACTTGCATTTAAAATTGATTATTATATAATACTGTATAATTATTTGCGTAACAGTCTAAACATAACAGCACTAGACTAAGCCTCTGCAATTGAGGTAATTGAGATATTGATCCTAATGTTACTTACACTTACAGTTTATGCAGATGGTCGAGTATGTATTTCAATTCTGCATGCACCTGGCGATGATCCTATGGGTTACGAAACAAGTGCTGAGAGGTGGAGCCCTGTACAGAGTGTTGAAAAGATTTTATTGTCTGTAGTAAGCATGTTAGCAGGTAACACTTGCATTGTATTGATTTTATTTTGAAATGTACAACAAAGTAAGTCCTCGTTATTGGGCGTATTCTTAATATTCTCTATTTAAAAAATCAAAGTAGTTTCAGGGGCTAGGGAAAGCCCTCAATGTCGGTCAGTTGTCTTAGACTTTGCGAATCAATTTGCAGATAGTGATATTTGCCAAGAAATTCTGTGAATTCAAAAACTGAAATGCAATTTTGTTGTGGCTCGGTATAAAATATTGCTACTGTATATTTTTATTTGCAACTGTTTATGAAAAAAATTATTGGGACAATTTAGATGAGTAGTAAATGTTTGTTCTCTGCAATTTAATATCTTGTCATTTAGTATCAAATATGGTTTTTTTTACTATATATTTCTTGCAAAATTAAAATTAATGTAATTATAACATTGTATGGTTTTGTAAATTTTTGTACAACATTATTGATTTCATTTTGCAGAACCAAATGATGAAAGTGGCGCAAACGTCGATGCATCAAAAATGTGGCGAGATGATCGGTCAAGGTTTGAGGAAGTAGCGCAAGAAATTGTCAGAAAATCTTTAGGATTATAACATTTAAAAAAAAAATTATATTTTAAAATTCTTTTAATATTCCCAATTATCATTTTTAAAAGTCTGAAAAAGTACTTATATGATTTCTTATGGTAAATTTATATAATACATGGCTAGAAATCCTAATACCCCTTCATCAGATACATGATTTTTACTTTGGTAGAGCATGGTTTTTCATTTATTTACAATTGCAAATTTATCATACACATGTTCATGGTCCACTGTAGTAAAAACTGTTACTGTAGCACCAAGTTGAAGCAATTTTTTTTTATTTTTAAGAAAAACTAGTTGTGATTAACTTCATGGTCTAATGCAGCTGCATTATGAGAGTTATAACGTTGTTGTATGTCATCTAGGCTAGACCTGACCTAGGCCTAGGCCCTAGCAAAATGACAGTGTCTTGTTCCCTGGTACTCCTTTGTGGTGGCCACAAAACTTGCGGCATTCCAAGATTTGAACATGCCACAAAGACCCAGTCAAGGTTGGTTTCATATCATGCGACTCCAGTTGATTGTTACTAGAAAAAGTCTGTATTGGCATCTTGTGAAATAATTGTGACATCTTAGTACAATCTTGTCACTTTCTGGTACAGTCACCCATTGTGCCTTAATTGTCTTGTGATTAATTAAATCTTTCATGCATCTTGTTAATAATGATAATAATGAGTGCATATATGTGGAGACCTCTATACACTTAACATTATTTCCACAGGCACATATAGAACACATGCTCATCTCCCTAGAGAGAATTCCATAATGTTGCAGCTGAAATCGCATATTATGTTTGAACCTACAAGGTACCTGGGTGGAGCAGGGCCGGCGGAAGTGGGGGGTCCACTAGTAAGATGAATGGTAATATGAATTGCGAGATAGCCGATCATACAAGAATCTGCATAGACATTATATATTTTCAGACAACCATAGGTAAATTGCATTGTGTAAGGACACAAGCGAAATGCACAGCGAGGGATTGAACCTCCAACCTTAAGGATGAGAAACAGAATCGCAACCGTTGTGCCAAACCTCTCCTACACATTGGCTGTATTCGACTGGTGGTTCTTCGTTAAACCGTGCAATGGTAAAATCCTACCAGTCGAATAGAAAACTTGATTCTCGACAAAACAAAATCAAGATTGCTTCGGCTTGTGGCAGTATGGGTTTTCATAAAATAATGTTTTCATCCAGTTTTTGAATACTGTTATTATGAAATTATTTTTTGACTTCATGTTGGTAAATATTATAATTTTTATCTTCCGAAATCTAATCTAAATTATATTAACGCAAATGTTGTTTCTAAACTGACTAATCGACCATGTTTGTTTTGGTCATGTGGATAACTTAACTCTGATCAACGCACTTTGTTTTAGATTAATTTTCGTTGTCAACAAAGTCAATTTTACGAACCAGTCGAATGAAAATAATACTCAATGTAAAATCCAAGTCAACGAAATGAACCATTTAAATAAGCCCATTAAAGTCATATTCTTGTCCTGCTGATGTCTTGTGGAATTATAATTGACACTGAAGATGTATTTCATAGTATTCTGTGACAAATCTCCACAATGTTGTAACTCTATTCATAACATTTTCAAGCACTGACTCTACTGCCATGCCACGTATGAAGGTGTCTTGACAAAATGTAGTATTTGTTTGAACTTTTAAGTGCGAATCGCTACGGTAAGCATCTAGATTTTTTACTTCATAAAACATGTTCTACCATAGCAAACATTGTGTCATGTGGGAAAGGGTCAAAATGAGGTAGAGTATGTGGTTGCACATTGTCATCACTGATTTTATATCCAATATTCAGGGCTGAAAAGCAATTTTCTAACCGTGAAAAAGGTGCTATTTGAATTAATGTAACATTTTTTTTAAAACTACTGGTACGTTCAGACTTGCAGATAAGCCAGGCTTGAGTTAAGCCCGGCTCAACGTCAAGCCCGGCTTAACTTTGCCGGGTGTTCAGACTAGCGGGGTTAGCCAGGCGCAAGAATTTGCATAATAATGAACCGTAACCAGGAAACATGTTTCAAAACATTGCTCGCGAAACGTACGCTCGCTCACAGCGTACGTAACTGAAGGCTGATTGGTCATTTTGTTACCCGAAGTCAATGCAAGACCCCCCGCAACGAATTAAGCCCGGCTTAGAAAAGTTAAACATGTTAGGCCTAGTTACTATAGGAACACAGCCCGGCTTGAGATAGGTGGATAACCCCAGTGAGTTGAGCCGGGTTTATCCACCTAGTCTGAACTAGGCCTAATAATTTACAATGCATAAATAATTTTTTATGTTTATTTGTAAATTACAGTATTATTAGTATTCTAAATTGAGTATAAATTCTCATGTATAATGCATTGGTGAGAAATGTCCTCAACAAAGAGCCTATTAATATTAATTTTCTTTTATGATGCTACTAATTTTAAGAAAATATGGTACATTTTACAAAGAAGGTAGGAAAATGTAGCATAAACATTACCTATTTAAGAAAATATGATATAATTTGCAAATTTAAATTTGTAATAGGACTTCCATGTTCATGTTTTTATAACGATTAAAGACCAAGAAAGTAATATACTTATGGCATAGCTGTCTATTAAATCAAAATACTGTATACTTTTTTTTTATATCTAAATACTTCTTCTATCTTTAAGCAGCTCTTTGTAATAAGATGTGTTTATGTAGAAATCAGGCCAAATAAAAAAATACATCCTCCAGAATTTTAGACAAAACGTAGGAGGGGGTTGAATTTTTTTTTTTTTTTTTTTTTAACTGGTAATAAGTCTGAGCTACTCATGCCAAAGTAGAGGAATATAAAGTGGCTACTATTATTGTATGCTATATTAGTAAATAATAATTGAATACAACGGGAAAATATAACAGAAAATATTGAGATGGAAGCAGCAAGTGAATATGTCAAACTAATTAATTCTTTTGGTATAATTTAGTACTATATATAGTATAATATACGATATACATATATTTTATATTTTATACTATACTGTTATACTATATATTATATTACCAGGGAACAGTGAAACTAAAATATAAAGCCTGTCTCTTATCTGTGGGAAACAATGGCTGGATCTCAGTAGAGATACAATATATATATATATATATATATATATATATATATATATTTGTATATATATATATAACAATAGTTCCTCGTCGAAACGACCAATAATTTTTGCAGGCAGTGAATTGTACACGAATTTTTCTGTTGTTTTTCTTTGCCCGTGAGAGTCCCATGGATGAATGGACCACTCTCACAATATATTGTTAATAATAAATAATTGGATATAGTGTCAATCAAAACAAAGCTCTATTGTTAAACTCAAGTCTTATAGTCTGTGATGAGCTATCACACCAGATGTAGAATATTAATCTATATTTAATTTGCTTAGTATTTATGTAACTTATTATGTCATATATGTGCCCAATGAATTCAGTGGTGGATCCAGGAATTCAAAATAGAAGTGGCCCGGGAGTGAATTTTGGGCCTCAGCCCATCATGGCTGGGACTGTTAGTGCTGAGGTACGAAATTTTATTTCTCTGGCACCTATAGATAACTGAGAATGGCACCTGCATGTAAATGACGATGGATGTACACGTAGTTCAGATTAATGCATAAATTTTGATTTGAAATTAAGTCTCTTTCCAACAGGGCCATTTTCAAAGTAAAACTTTTTCAGTTAAAAACAATAATAAAATGTTTCCATCACCAATTTAACAGATGTATAGATAATATCACTTCAAATCTTCTACATAGAGCCTTAAATTTTCTGGCGCTTTTTTTTCCCATGGTAAAATCTTTGAATCAGTGAAAACTATTTTTGCAAGTATTTCGTTGGAAATTGATAAATTTTATGATCATATAAATAATTAGTTAATTGTGTGTTTTGTTTTTTTAAAGAATTTTTGAGAGGATTTGTTTTATATTTTAGAGTACTGTATATCTTTAATCATCGAGACATTTTTTTGTGTGTGGAATGTCCTTATGATTGTTGATAATAGCATGGAGCTCATATTAACCAGTTAATAGATTCATCCATAATAAACAAACACGCAGTTTGCGTGAAGTATCCTACAGCTGTTGCATCCTTTGTTTTATTATTGTTTATGGAATTTGTTGTTATAAGATGAACTCTGGTTGATGCACTATTTATGTTTAAATATACAGAAATGCAAAAAATATCATTTACAACTTGGCACAATGGGTTAAACTGATGGTAGCCACTGAGTGTGTGCTAAACCGCGTGATTGTTGAACATGAACTTGGTCTTCATATGGACAATGCAGGTTTCAATAGCGCACGTTCTTTTAGAGATGTTTAAGCTGGTGGTCCCATCTAAAATTATGGCCCATGATAAGGAGTAAGTCTGTTTCCCAGTATACGCTGCCCATTTTCACCACCAGATGAACCCCACTGGAAATTACACACTTATCATATCCAATAAAATACAATGCAAGCTCGCCCTCACCCTGATCCTCAACTGGACATTCTCGAAGCAAGGAAAATTACACTCATGAGTTAGAAATCACGTCATCCGTATTTTTTTTTTTTACCAGTTAGCTCCCCTCAATTTTAATCTCTTCCACTTCACCTTCCCGCCCCATCAGGACTCACCCCATTTTAATTACACCTAGACACGTCACTGAGGCATCCCTAGGCCTATAAATTCATTGAACAGACACCTTATATCTGGTAAAAGAGCAGTTGCGTATAACAAAGGGGAGCAATCTCCCATAGTGTGCATATTCCCACCCTCTTCTATCCCCACTGGCTAGGAAGTTACAAGGCTGTTTTTTAACCATTATATATTTGTGGCACCTACGAATAAGTTTTCGAGGAGACCACTATAATTTTATCTTTATCCATCAACCATTGCTGCCCACACACCATCTACCCATGATAAAATACAAGATAATTTTACTGTTAGAATAATTTGGAATGTACGTACATACAATGCCGTAGCCAGGATTTTCTAACAGTGCGGGACAATATCATGATGGACCCACTTTACGCATAAATTCAAACAATGTGGACTAATTTTATGCAAAAATATGAATAATCTGGACCCATTTTCTTAAATTTTACCTATTTTAAGCTAAATATGAGTAATCTAGACCCAGTTTTCAAAAAGTGGACACATTTCATGCATAAAATTACATAATTTGGAAACATTTTTAAAAATGTGGACCCATTCTTTGTGGACCCATTAGACAAATTGTGTGAGATTGTTCGAACTATCCCAATACCTGGCACGGCATTGCGTACATAATTATGTTTTATAAATAAAATAAAAAAATTAATATACGAAAGCAAGAAGTAGGCCTATATAATATCATGTAGACTCCAAAAAGGCTAAGAGAAGCCATGATTCAATATTTCGTTCTTTATTCGAACATCATCATCATCATTATCTAAATATAATCGGTGGACCACTTGATTTTTAAGTAGGCCTATGTTATAGAACTTTAAGAGCTCAATGAATTAATGTGAAGTTGCGTCGTTTATTTGTAGATGGGAATAGTATTTAGCGTCCTCTTGCTAAATTACTTTAAAATGAAAATGACCTTGCACAGAATGCATCGACCTTTCTCCGAAATATTCATAGTAATATTATTTGCCAACAAGGCAGAAAAGTAGAATGGAATTAATTCTGACTCCAAAAAGTGATTTTGTCGAAGCTGCAGCAGAAAAAAAATATGTTAGCATATCAGCTCGTAAGCTGAAGTAAAGTGTAATATGTGAACCGTTTACTAAGTTCAAATTCATAGACTATATGTCTGCTTTGAGATAAGGAGGTATATAAGGTATATATTGGGTTTTGTTTTTGCCGAGGGCCGCACCCAACCTTTGATATTTCCAGTGACCTTCCAAAAACCTCCAAGCACTGCTTTCACACCACTTTGTTCTCAGTTTTAATGTCACTTTTTACATATGATCGGTGTCTGGCCGTAAAAAAAATAAGGTGTTCTCTAGTCAATGTTGCTTGAAGGGCCGCACGCGTAGGGTTTTTTTTAAATAATTTTCGCGGGCCGCAAACAAATTGCTATCGGGCATTGGTAAATAAGGAAGTCTTGGGCTGTAGTCCAAAGGTTCGATTGTGGGCCCCTGGAAGCTCAGGCGTTCTAGCATTTTATAAGTCCTGTCTAATTGGTTGGGTCTGAGGTAAGAGAATTTTTGATTATTGCAGCTCTATAGATTGCCGGAAGTGTACCTCACAAGCTTAAAATGTGAATAGGCCAATAATTTTTTTTTTATCTCCATTAAACAAAAATTTAGGGGACTCGGGCCGACAGGACCCTTCCCCTTTAATCCACTACTGGATGTCCTATAGTCGATGTCATACACACATTATGCTGTTATATATCAGCAAAGCCCCTTTGAATCAGGGTGCAACATCGAGGACCTGCGCAAGAGAGCACAGGCATTACGCCATTGCGGATGCCATATTAATTTACATTCCGAATCCCAATTTTCGGATCGAATAGCCATCGAACGAACCGATCAGAAAATCAGATCAGTATGTCAGAAGAATGGACGCTGGCTAACGTATTGGAAACGTGGTTCGATTTTCGGTTTGGTGCCGATGTGAATGCAGCTGTACCGCGATACCGCGACACATGGACACATTTACAATAATGAAATGTTTAATCAGGGATTTGACAACTCCCATGTTTTATCAATAGCACAATTACCTATGACACAATTACCCATGACACCATCATTTATCGTTTTACCCTTGGCACATATTCCGTATTTAACACTTAAATTTACCCAAGACACAAATAGGAAATATCATTTACCCTTTACATAATAATGGCACGATTACCCAACAGTTACATAATAGAACATATCCGATTTATATCGGTATGTACAATCTATATATGGCGCATTAACCGTTATCAATTGTATGATTTAACCACCATCATATAGGTCTAATTTACGTTACCCATGAGACACAATAATTACCACTTTCAAACCACATGGAACAATGTCATACCGGTAGGCCTACTGATAATACTCACGCATTTCCCTTTGGCATATTCTAATAATAATAATAATAATAATAATAATAATAATAATAATAATAATAATAATAATAATAATAGTAATAATAATAATAATCACAATAATAATAATAATAATAACATTAATATAATAATAATAATTTTAATAATAATAGCAATGATAATGATATTGTAAGTTTTGATAATGATATTGTAAATGACGATAATGAATAATGATAATTATAATAGTGATAATGATATCGATTGTAATAGTACATATAATAATTTGTTATTCATGTATTGTGGCGTCAGTTGTTGATGGATCGAGGGAATGAGGCCCTCCGTCGGAGATGCAACACTCAGCCCTTCTCCGACAAATCTTTCCCGAATCGACTTAGAAGAAACTAGTGAGATTGCTTTCATGGGGAATGGGTCTTCACCATGTCCCCAGCCCAAAAATCATGCTTCTCCCCTACCTAGGATATTTCTAACTTCCTTGCGCTACCCCTGTCAGAGAAACCCTGGCTCCACCACTGACTGACCTAATACGCATCATGCCAGAGTTTGCCTATGGGAAATGAAATGTCATAGAAGTGGTTATTTGCCCTGCCTGACGTGTTATCGTACCAAATACTCAGTACGTACCCAAATAGTGTCTGTGAATCTGAGTCTGAAATAGGCCTACTACACAATAATACAAATAAAAAAAAGGTTCAGGTGGGAATCGAACCCACGATCTCCAAGTTACCTAGCAAGATGAAAACCAAATGCTATTGAGATGTAAGTTTGCGTCATTAAATATAATATGAGTGATTATTTGCTCTACCTGGCGTGTTATCGTACCGAATACCCAGTACGTCCCCATATACTAGCCATTAATAGAATTTGTTTTAAATGATTCTGGTGGGAATCGAAACCACGACCTCCAGGTTATTTAGCGAGATGAAAACCACTACAAATGTTAAGAATATTTTTGCCTCCATGTGTTTTACATTTAATGTTTGCACCTGGCATTCAGGCCTATATTTTGACTCAAACCATTCGAATCATTGCGTATAGTTAACATCAAACCATATGACTGATTCCAATTCGACTTACTATCATACGAAATATCATTGGGTCTTAATGTTATTTAAAAGATATTATAAAAAAAAAAGTCGAAAGCCGTTTTGTGTTATTAATTACATGCTCCGTGCTATTTAAAGATGAAGTAGGCCTATTGGAATTTTCCATATAGGCTCATTTTATAAATATTGTTATCAATCGATATTACGTCACGATTCGCCACATTCTAATATCGAGCACATCCAGGTTTTTACATTTTATTTAAACCTTACAGACTGAAATGGATTTAAAGGCACGGTAGATAGAAGCAGATGTCAACTACAAAAGTAGGCCCATTGAGATGACCATCGAGGAGTATACTAACGATGCGAATGATGTAACCTTTATTTTATAAAGGTCGTGTCATTTATGTTACATCCAATGTGCGCTTAGCTTTCACCGACGTTCCTATAATCAGACACGGTATAAGGTATATGTATGTTAATGTTGATACCGTCTATCTACGTTATGTTGATCAGAGTAACAGAATAACTTAACGTGCAACTTGTGAACATTATCTAATCTGATACTGTAATACTAGAGCTCTACTTTACTGATGCAAAATGGCTGAAAACAGAAAACCAACTCGGCCAACGTCCATTATGAAGAAGGTAAGTTTAAAATTATTTTTTTATAATATATTAATCTTACTATTTGGCCTCTTCTATTAAGTTTAGGAAATGCACAACACTTCAACAATACGGTTGAGTTGCAAATTACAATTTGAAATTAACAGTCTACATATGAAAAACCTATTTGAATTAGTATCGGTTTTTTCAAGTCGGGCCCGTGTAAACTGGCACCTTAAAAATAAATTAACGGTGATGATTCATCCCCTAGCCCCCAGGACTTGAACCCCGGGGTCGAAATCCTAGAAACGTGATTCCTGGGACAAAGTAAAGATTTTTAGCTTAGTTTATCAAATTTGGTCTGTGGGATACACCGAATTCACCCGACCTGAGGCCTTACTCGGAGGGCCGGTGGTGGAGGGAGTGATTATTACGCCGGTGGTAGGCCTATTCTATAGATTTTATTCATCAAGAAATTATGTAGTTGGCAACGTTTAATGTTTAGTTTCACCATGGATAGGCCTATATGGTTTCACATAGGCCTAGCCTAGCTTAACGAGCCTCTCAGAATTAAATCATGAAGGTCCACATTCTTATACGAGCAATGCCGTAGTCAGCTATTGGGACAGTCCCACACAATTTTTCTATTGGCACAAAGAATGGGCCCACATTTTAAAAATGGGTCCAGGTTTATCATATTTTATGTAAAATGGGTCAACCTTTAAGAAAATGGGTCCACATAGCCTATCTCATATTTTGCGTAAAATGGGTCAATTTTTAAATGGGTTCAGATTATTCATACTTTTGAGTAAAATGGGACAACTTTTAAGATAATAGGTCCACATTATTTGAATTTAAAAGTGGGTCCACCCTGATATTGTCCCACACAGTTTGGTCTGTGGTGTAAGTATTGCGTTATTCAGGGGCGCATTAAAATGTACCGGTAGCGCTCTAGAGTGACTCCATCATATTATTTGGTTTGTATAAAAATGTGTTTTTAAGTGGGGCCAAAGACCGGTGACAATATAGAGGCCTTGACGGAAGGATCTATTCAGTTCGGTTTATTCTAAGCATGATAATGATGATGAAAATGATAACGATAGTGCTTTTGAGCGAGATAGAACTTTCCATAGTGCCAAACATACTGACCAATTAGAACAGGGCTATAAATATGCGCTTTCCCCGCCACAACCCCCACACGCCAACGGGGCACATGTGATTTACCCTTTCGCTATTATATGGGACCAGTATATCCAAGGGGCGGGGCTTAGCGGAAAGACCCCGGCGCTGGTTATCTGTACGTGCATACTGCCACCACACAGTAAATTAAACGATTACCTGTATTGTATTTGTAACAATCACTTGTAATCACTGTCAATCAGTGTAAAGCTGCATTCAATTCGGATCTGTTGAGTAGCACGCGCGGCACTGCGTGTATGACGTCAGGGTCTTCCCACGCGCAATGGTGTGGGTGTAAAAGATGTATAATTACTGTACAGTAGCCATTCATCATGCTGGTGTCTCATTAATAGCCATGAAGGTTCCTATCTTTGTGTTAACATATGTTTTGAGCACACGTCATACTGTATACTGTACTGGATTTGTTACCGGATAGGAACTCAAATGTCTCTCTGAACCGCTCCCTTTAATTCACTCCATCAAGAGTACAATAAAATAAAAATATTAGGAATAGGAAATCAGATTATTCATAATGAAACTTAATTAGTTTTGAGAGAGAACAGAGGAAGAAATTAAAACAAGACCAGGGCCGGCGGAACGTTTTTCAAAGTGGGGGGGCCCACTTATAAGCAGGCGCGTAACAGGGGTCTTAGGTCAGGGGGGTGGCGGCAAAGGTAATAATTTTCCCGGTTAGTAATTTATGACTTGATAATAATAATAATATTAATAAAAATAAATATAAGAAATAATAATCAGGGGTGGCGCCAGGATTTAACCGACGGGAGAGCCGTGGTCCCCGACGAGGGAGGGGGGGGGGGGCAGTGCCCCGACGAGGGGTCAGTTTACCCCGACGAAAGCAAGGTGGACGTGGTCGAAAATTTTGACAATTTAGGGGTTTCAAAGGCTTATTTAATCGATTTTAGAGTCTACTAATATGTACTAAATACATATAATTTTTTTTTCTCCCCAACGAATTGTGATTTTTCTCCCCGACGGGGGGGGGGGGGGGGCGGCCCCCCCCCCCCGCTTCCGCCGGCCATGCAAGAGATAAACAAAAAATAAACTACAAAAGAAATTGAACCCGGAAAGAACTATCCACGAAATCAAAGCAAACCACATGAACGATGTGTGACAATCAGCTGTAACTACACGCATTGCGGTTCACAACGTTGAGTGTGGAATAATTCATTTTTAATTCAGGTGTGTTAATGATCAAGGCAAAAAAATACAATAAAATAAGACAGTTCAATACATTTTTTCTAGAATCATAAATAATTTATATACACACATGTAAAAATTTTCAATTTATAAAGATTCTCGAAACTGATAGACCACCAACTAGGTTTTAGGACACCATTTCACTCACATTATTATGGATTCCACAATGACGGTTGTGAGTTTTAAAATGCTTTTGACTCTGGTTGTCCTCTCTATATTTTGGTTGTCCGTCTGGAAACCTTAAAAAATCAATCGTTTTAGAGGGAGGAACATATTTTAGAATAGAGGTAATGATTTTATTTTATTCCAATATTCAACACATTAGTTAGTTTGTTGATAGTATACTATACATAGGTCTAGACGTTAACTTTATATTGTAAAATGTATAACGCAGTTAATTTAATGGGTAATTCAACAGCGTGCGTAGCCTAGCCTACTAGCCTAGCCGATGGGGTTCTATCCACCGTCCATCCATGCCGAACACCGTCGTTGATCTCTCTGAAGTGTGACGCGTCTCCCAAACAAAGAATTAGCCTAGGCCTAGCCTATGTCTCCAGTAGGCCAGTGTTTCCTACAGTATTCACCAAGAAAAGTAGGCGGCCGAAAAGTATTTTTAAATGTGCTGTTTTGTGGTATTTTAATCGTTTTTACAATACAGTACTACTACTGCTACTAAACTAGCCTAGGCCCAGCTAGCCTAAGAAGAAACAAACAAGCGGGTCCAGGACGATTGGGCCCCTTTGTTTTTTAAATTGAGCCCGATCCAAACTAAACCAAACCAAAATAAATATACTAAATAATCATATGTTATATAAATATATTGGAATGCAATAATTAATCAGAATAAAAGAAGTGGGCCTGAAAGTCCACACTAGCCTAGGTGGTGGACCTGATTGTCTTGTCGTAGGCCTGATCGTCCACACTAGTTGGGCCCGATCGTCTTGTGGGCCCAGTCATCTGTCACCCGCCTCAATGGCCTTTATAACCCCACACATCGATCCAATCTTACTTTGAAACATTTCACAGAGTCACTACATCTTCAGGGAGACAGTTCCAAAAAAAAAAAGCGATATGCTTTTCTGTCTGAAAGGGTCCTATAGAATGGCGTAATATTGGCAATTTAAAACACAGAGGGCAAAATTATCATCATCATCAGTTGCTGTTCTTTTTTTTGTTGCAGGATCGGGCTTTACAGCCCATACTGGTGCCTCTGGTTTGTAACGATCTCCAACCAGGGCCCCCGATCCATAGCTTTTTGTTTTGCCTCATTATAGTTGATTCCAATTTCTTTTAATTGCTTTCTTATTTCTGACATCCAAGTCAACCTTTTTTTCCCCTTCACATCCAACAGCAAGTACACTTGCCACTTACAGGAGGAGAATGATGCTTTATAAACTAAGTCTCTTTATGAGGCTTAGGATATTAGGATAATATTTAAAAAATTTAATTTCAAAAATCTGTATCAAGAATGATTTGTGTCAGAAAAATCAGTAGTAGGCCTACAACATATAAAAAAATGTATTTTCCTCTGGCTTTAATTTACTACATCATTGGCAAAATCTATTTTTAGACATTAAACAGGCATGGATAGTAACTGTATTGATTATTACAAATAATACAAATGTACAAATGTTGTCACCTCCTGTCTGAATTTATCATCTGAGTTGCCTGTTTTTTAAAAAAATTTGAGGAACACTGCCCTACAATATACTACAGTAATAATATTTCACTGATATCTCTTTTTTGGTGAGAAATTATTTGTTGATTTCAAATGGTTTAGTGATTACCTTAACAAAAGAACAATGACAATGCTAAAAATTGTTTGCATTTTGGTAAAGTTTAAGGTAAACAAAGCTATTCTTTCTGCAAGATTCAGTCATGCATACCATTTTACTGAAAGATTTTAGTGGTCAACAAATTCTTTTGTTATTATTAGATTTTGATTTATTTTTGTTCCCATCATTGGAATGGATTAGATACTTAAGTTATCCTTGTAAATCCTTTGTGAGACTTGGGCTCATAGGCTGGAGCTTATCCCCAGTTTCTGTAGCATGAAGCGGATAACCTGGGTGGGACACTAGTCCACCGCAGGTTAATCCCAGCAATTCGCTGGGTCCCATCTCCATTGATACAGCTGGACGCAGGGTTCCCGGAACGCGGCGGTGTGTGCGAATCACAACTCAGGGCCAGAAGTGGAATGTGAAATTTCGATATGGTTTCGTAGTCAGATTTGTGAGAAAAACTTCAGCTACCCGTATTTCTCGACTGAGACGTCAGTGGGAGCTGTAATTTGTATGGCAAGGAGATGGTGCTTCCCTTAATTCGTATTAAGGGAATTTATGCCCACAAACCTTGTAGTTATTAATATTTTGGTTATAATAGAAAATTTTTATTTTTTGGTGACGTCACACTCGCGCTATAGTTAGCATGCATACGTCATAAGCTAGATTACGTCACTTTTTCCTGGTAAGGCAAACTTTCCCGGCGTGCTTTTTTCATGGATAAACAAACACCACTGCTTTGCACATGAATGCCTTGCATAGCTACTGTAGGGCTACAAGAGCCGCATAGTTAGCTTATAATACTTAAACAAGGTACGTCTACAACTGAATTATTCTTAGGCCCTAGTTATTTTTTTTTTCTTA